TAGATGCATGGCAGAATTTGTGGAATATCCAATCTTTGCAATATTGGCAGGTCTCAATCAAGACGACGGACCTTTCGCGTATGCAAGGGATTATATGAGAGCCGAATTTCATTCCGATGATTGTCCTGATGGATTTTCTCCAGGCGCCTATGCGTGTTTGCGGCCACTTATAGTTGGAGAAGATGACGGTGAAAACCCGGCTGCCTTAGGCAGTTCGGACACCTGGAGTGGCCTGAGTTTCCGAGCGGATGATTTGGCCAAAATAATAGGCCAATGTGCCGTATACATCGCGAGGCACTGTTCGGACTATGCTAGATCGTCAGGAGGCTGGGTCTATTTTGGGGACCTGGTGCAGAAGTGATATGATGACGGTTTTACTTTCCAGTCGTACGCCTTGGCTGCACACAGCTTAGCTGTGTTGCCGGCAGGGACAATCGATGTTCTGGGGATTTCCCCCAAAGACAGCCCCAATATTGCTGGGGCACTAATCCACGCTCTGTGGGGCAAACACAATAAAATATCTCTACAAGAGATCAATGGAAGAGAGATGCCCACGCCGATATTCTATAGGGCATGTCAGGGACATTCAACGTTTACCGCTTCGACTGAAAGAACGCATGTCCCGCGCGACCCTGGCCAAGTCAGGAGTCGCGGATCTCTTCCACATACCACGAGCCTACAGGCATATTTGGAGTCTACGAGTGGAAATGCTTGCTTTCCAAAGGGCAGTTCTGGGCTGTGTCATGCCGCAGATTGCGATTTATTGCGTTTGCTTCCGGCACACAATTGCCCAACCATGCCTGTCCCCTCGGATTTTCCTCCGTGGCTAAGCCAAAGGAGATATGGACAAGCGCCCACCATAAAACCGTAGCATCTATGGGCAACCAGGCTCGGAATGGGGAGCCGCCGAAGGTGGGTACCTTGAACTTGGAAGACATACGCCACCTCTGGCCATGTCTCTCCAACCTCAAGCATCATGAGCAATGGGATATTATCCTGGTTTTCACCGGCAGAGTACTCACCCGCTTCTCGTACAGAGTATGTCCAGACGGGACATTGATGTCCCGGGAGGTACCGAGATTCACAGACATCGACAAAGCCGTCTCGCTCGTGAGGCAGATGAATCAGATGCGCTGGACGGTGCTCTTTGACCGCGAATTTTCTTCGCACGAGGTCATCTTCGACAACGCGTCGATAATTGCTTGGGTTAATACAGACGAGAGACTGATTATTATTTGGGACCGCGAATCAAGATTGGATACCTCGATTTAAGATCGAATTATATCTACCCCGTGGGATGACGATGGGAGGTTCCTTTGCTTCCGTTGCCACTGGGTGAGGACGGGTTTTGCCAACTGTCCCGTCTGTAATTGCCCAATCCGATATAAATATAGGGTCTCGCATGATTACATGACCCAGACATGGAAGTACAAAACTATCCCGCAATCCCTTGAGGCACATGGTATTTGGATAATTGTGGAGGACGAAGGATCTCTGTCATGGGATCGTCGTGTATACATGGAGGCGCGGATAAGGAGACAAGGGGGAGCTTCTGCTAACGTTGCGAAAAATTTCGCCAACAACAATCAGCAGGAGCGAAAATGGGAAACCAGCCTTGCCACAATGGCGGTTGCTGGCACAATATTTGGCAACAGTCAGCAGGGGAACTTTCCAGCTTGGATCCCAGAGAACGCCGAGGCTCAGCCTCCGGCGCGACATGCTCCTTCCTTTGAATAATTCAGGTTTTTGGTCAAGAGATTTATATCGTGGCTAGAAATTTCGGCCGCAAATGTACACAGGCGAACCCCGCCTAGTAACAAATGGTGGCCAAAATTGTGGGCGACTGGTTTTGATCAGTACGCTCGCCCCAGATCTTGCCCAGCACTACAAGCATTTCAATGGGCTGATGAACCAATTGACTTGATCACACGTAGGATTGGCTGGGCACAATGGTTCAACAACATGAGGAGAGCGAACCTCTTTGTTCCTACACTTGCCACAGTAGATGATGGCATACAGTTTGACATTGTCATGGTTCGGCGTATTTCCTGAAGATACTGGAAACAACGCCAACAACGACAACCCTCCTGCGAGGTTACCGGTCGCCTGGGAGAACAATTTTACAGCGTGACCGACTCGCAGTTCTCACTCCGTTGCAAGACGGGTCGGCATGTGTCGGGACCATCGTCTTATAGTTCCCATGTTGCGACATGCCTCCGGCTCAGCCGCGAGGGCACGGGAGCAGACACAAATGAATCTGGACCTCAAAGTAATCAGCGGGCCTAAGGCCGCGTCGATAACTGACGGACTCCTCACGCTTGACGAACCTGGGGGACACGTGTACTTTCATCATGAGGACCGTTTGATTAAAATATGATTGTTCGGGGACGAAGTTCGAGAGGTTGCCGCTCATTACATAATTGAACACACGGGAATAAACCCTACTACACCCGACAGGGTTACCCTGACTGGAACGGCAGACTATGCGATCCCGGCGATCATCAAGAAAATAGTGGATGACAATTGGTTAGTAACAACACAAAACATGAAACTGGGCCTTCGACCCATAAGGATTTTCGCAATTATTCGTGAGATAATCAGCTATTTCATATCGGAGGACCACATTATTGGTTACCCGGGGCGAATCATTCGCCGCGAAATGATGGGCACGGATGAAATTGAATCAAAGAAGCGAACCGACGCATATGCGTTGGACTGCCGAATTCGCGCGGCTGTTGAGACGGACGACATTATAGAAACATGGGCCCACAAGATGGGCAGGAAAGTGCAGAGTGACGTCCGTCGCCACGGTGCTATAATACAAGAAGCCATAACTTGGCTACAGGATAAGTATCCTGACCCCGGTACCGATCTTCAGGACAAGGAAAATTGCCCTTTCCGCACTGCATGCGGACTATATGGTGTCGCTGCAGCAACTGCTGCCAGAACTATATTGCAATTTATGAACGGCAGGGATAATGACCCTGAGCACGACGGCGAAGCCGAGATCGTGGGGCCACGTGTGCCTGCTGGACCAGAGGCAAGACCTTTGTCTCGCACGCCGTCTCTTCGACCTGGCATCTCAGATGCTCAGGCGTCTGAGGAGGCCACTGGTTCCCCACGTTCTGTCGCCGGCTCAGCCGCGCCGACCAGAGACGCTAACCTACTAGATCCCAACACGAGGGATCGGTCGGATTTGCGACGCGCGCGCGATGCAGCCATGGATGATGCCTCTGTCGCGGCCGCCGATGACGCCGCCGGCCTTGCGCTGCCCGCGGCGGCGGGCGCCGCCGCAGGCGCTGCCTCGGATGCTGCCAGCAGCGCCGCAGGACACGGCTCCGCATACGACCCTGACCAGTCCTACCCCACCCACGTGAATGGAATCCCTGTTGGATATCGCCTCCATCGGAACAGGATCGCGTGGCTTAATAATGATGAATGGTACAATTTGCCTTACTGGACCTGGCTGTCAAAGTGGGAGCATAATCGTCATTTCCCGCCGAGAGAGGCGGCACAGGTTGGAAATAATGACAGAGAGAGGGGGCGGTCTCGCACGCCTCGTGGCATGGACGTACAGTCGGGAGGATCGGCGACTTCAAACCGCCGCCTCTGGCGCCGCCAAGGCGAGAGAGTTCGTGGAATCCGTGGGGGGACCTCAACTGAGCGCGGCCCGCGTGACTCCGTCCGCGGCATGCGCACACCAAACACTTTACCCGCGCGCTAAGCGTGCTGGGCGCGGACCTCTCTACTGGTCGGCCAAGCCGGTCCAGCGGAGAGAAACTATTTATATCTATGGTAGGAAACGTCGAGCCTCTTCGGCCCTTGGCCCCCTGGCAGCCACCGCTGAGCAGTAAAAGCATTTTTTCGGGTTGGCTCCGGTGGTTGTGCACATGTACAGGCCGGGGGTGCTGTGGCTGGATGGGCTCTACGCGGCCCGCCGCGGGGGGGGTAAATATGCTCCTCTCCGCATCATACTCAATTAGAACATAACTTAGATTGCATGCAATGAACTGTCCACGTGAACTGATGCTGCGTTTCTGCAGCTGTATAACTGCTCAAACCAGCCGACCTCGGCTGGCAGGAGAGAAAAGGAGCGCGCTGGGGCGCGCGGGTGCCGACCAATAATCCACAGCAGAAAGCCAAGAGCATCGCCATCATGAATCCGAACATGGCCAGCCTCACCAGCAGGTTGTCCCAGCCGTCGTTGGTCGGCGGGTGGAACAGCTCGACGCCGCTGGGCGCATACTGCACCACCTCAGCTCCAGAGCCAGTCGCCCTCGTAGCCGCCAACGTAGCTGCCAAACGAGCTCCACTCGCGCCAAAATGGCGCGTCCTGGCCTTAGCCTTCGCCTTCGCCACGGGCTCTTCCTCGAAGGTGTCGAGCAACTCTTCTCCTGCCTGGTCCAGCTCCTTCTCGCGTTGCTCCATCGCGCGCTTGGTGGGCTTCTTGCCGGCCACGAAGTCGGGGTCGTAGCGCAAGGCATGAACTCCACGGCGTAAGACATCCGCCATCATCTGGCGCGCCGAAAGTATGGTGAGTCCGTCCGCCATATGCTGCTGGGTGTTCACCCACTTCCACCTAGCGTTGACCTCCGCCAGCTGCTCGTTCACGATCTTCACCTCGATGGCCGTCCTCTTCTCTGCGATGCCCAACCCCGCCGTAGCTGACCGCGAGGCGTCGTAGAGGCACTTCGCGTCCGTGATGAACGGTGACTTTCCGAGGGATGTCATGGCGGCGTCATGTCCGAGGTCGGGCCTCAGACTCAGGGCCAAAAAGACCTTCACCCACATCAGCGAGTCGGCTCCCGTCGCCGCGGCTTGTGCCTCGGCGGACAGCGAGCTCCTGCACAACCGCACCAGTTTCTTCGAGGCCCACTCCATGGCCACGAACGGTGTCGGGGTGCCGGCGTTGAGCTCGTCCTCGGGTCCGACGAAGATCTGATAGCCTCCTTGGGAACTTACCAGCTAGCATTTGAGTAGCCTCCAACGCGTAACTCACTTTACGGCCTGTCGAAGCCGAAGTACAGTCCCATGTCCGCGTTGGCCTTCAGGAGCCGTAGATCTTTGTTCGCGTCCAGCAAGTCTTGCACCGTCGCATGTCCAGTCGCTGCGGCTTTGAACGATACGGTCGCCGCCGCAATGATAACCCCCTGGGCTGCCGGCCACTGCAGCTGGCCGTTCAGGGTCCTGAAACTGGTGAGCTCCTTCGGCGACAGCGCACTGGTGGGATCTGCCCGCCCGTGCTTCTCCACGGTGATGGGCTTCACCGCGTGCAGGTACTTCTCGAACTTGATGGTGATCGCGTGGGTGCTCAGGGACTGCTCCACCTCGCCGCCGGTGAAGACTAGGCTCGGCCCGAACTCCCACTTGCCGAACTTGAACTTCTCGTTGAGCATGCCCAGCCGCGCCTGGCAGCACTCGGTGTCGTCCAGCTTGGCGTGCAGGTCATCCTCGCAACTCACGTTCTCGCCGCAGCCGATGAAGTCGTCCACGTGCTTGCCGATCAGCCCGTCCACCACGAACGTCTGGCCGTCGAAGCTACACGCGTCGAACGGGTCGTCCGAGGGTCGCGCGGCCCGCAAGGACAGCAGCAAGCAATCCTCGAGCCAGCTGTTCTTGAACCCGATCTCCCTCGCGACTTCGTCGGAGCGGTAGTGCCAGAGCTTGGGTGACCGCGGGTCCCCAAAGCACGGCTTGATCATCTTGAGCAACTGTCCTGGCTTCAGGCCGATCTGGTGTACAAGCATGTCCCTCATCTCCTTCGTCAGGCTCGCGTACAGCTTGATGCCGTGAGCACTGGCGTCCTCGGCCTGCAGGAACGCGGACTTCACATCCGCAGCGAACAGCCTCCACTTCCTCAAGGCTGCCCACAGCATGACCGTATGTCGGCCAAGCCTGCTCAAAGTGGGCGCCTCCTTGTCGAGCTGGCCCTCGGCCACGTCGCGGTGCTTGAAACCCTGGTAGAGCACTCCCGCGTTGGCCACTCGCTGCCCGTCCTTCACCTTCCACTTCAGCAGGAAGCGTAACGGGCAACGCGCCGCTTGGTCCACCTCCGCCTCGTCGATGGGTTCCCAGCCGTCGTTCTTGTTGAACACCTCGAGGGCCTCCAGCTTGGCTGCGTAGAACTGCTCCCGCTCCTCGGGTGTGAGCCTCCCCTCCACGATGGTGGAGACTTTCCTCTTGAAAGCCAGCATGTAGATTGTCTCGGTGGATTCCTCCAACAACATCATCTCGTCGTCCACCTCCTCGATGAGACAGCACTCCTCCTGCTGCGGCGCGAGCCTGGCCCACGACATGCGGGCGCGTTTTGCCAAGGGGATGCCGTCCAGCTTCTCGGCCTCCTCGATGCTCCTCTTGGCCATCGCCTCGATGTGGACTCTACTCGGCTCCCTCGCAGCGTTGCCACGCTCTCGCGCAGCGCTGGCCCCCGCAGGTGCGGGGTCTGGAGCCGCCTCCTCGCCAGCCTCGGCTGGCTGGTGGGCCTCGGGAGTTGCCGTGGCAGCCGCTCCACTCGGCTCCTCTCGTTCTTGTCCAACTCGATCTCCATCGCGTTGTCCCTGGGCGCCGGGCTGCTGCGCGCCCATGTCGTCCAGGGCGTCGTCGTACTGGGGCCGCTGGCCCCCCATCGGCGAGGCCACTGAAGCTGCAGGTTCCCTTGGTCCGCGTGAGCGCCCTCCTCAGCTTCTCGATGGTGCTGAGTGGGCTGTCGGGATCCTCGCGTCGTCCTTCTCGCTCTCGGGTCTCACTGGACAGCTCGGGAGGGAGCTGCTCCACCGTGCATCGGTAGATCGTGCACCCGTGCGTGACCCACACCACGGACGTGTGCATCACGTCGTCCTCGTTGACCTTCGACTCCTCCGCCACCACCAGCGCCGGGCCATGCCAGTGGCGCTTCTCCAGGCCCGTCGACATCTCGGGTCGCCAGAAGTAGACCGACTCGCCGATCTGGTACTCGCGGCGCGTCGGCCTGCTGCGCGCCAACAGCGCAGCTCGCACGGCGCGAGAGCAGTTGGCCTCGATGAAAGCCGTCCCCGCCGCAGCGCGCCTGACCATCATCTCGTGCACCTCGCTCTTGGGATCGACCAGCGCGGCCTGCTCCGCCAGGCCGAAGTCCTCGTCGCACAACGCGCCAGGCACCTTGGGCTGTGTGCCCAGCACCAGCGTCGCGGGCGAATACCCGTGCACGTCGCGTAAGATGTTCCGCTGGCTGGCGGTCATCCTGAGCGCGGTTTTGAGCGAGTCGTCGGGAAATTGCAGATGGTACTTGCTGAGCTGCCCCCTCCTGACCGCATGGTTGCGCTCCATGAGTTCGAGCTTGTGGTGCGCGCCCTCCGGGATCAGGTCGAGGGTGATGTTGTGCTTGCTCATCCACTGGTGCATCTTTCTTGACGTGTGCGAGCCTGCCATGTCCATCCTCATGGTGTCGGGCTTGCCAGCCCAGCTGATCCACAATTTCTGAAACAGCTTCACCTCCTTCTTGACAGTCTCCTTCGCGATCGGGTAATCCACTTCGTAGCGCGTGACCTCATCCATCATAGCCAAGATTTGTCGCTCCTTGTTCTTCCAGGTGGCGTAGTAGACGTCGGTGTTCACGACCTCGTTGAACCGTTTAGCTTTCGGCAGTACAGCTACGCGCACTGCTCGAGGTCGTTGCCTGCTCAGGCAAACTTCACACTGGAAGAGCTTGGCGCACTGAAGCCACTCGGCCGGGGCCTTCGCGTGCTTCATGGCGGTCGCCAGCGCCGCGTTGGAGGGGTGGCCCAGGCTGATGTGAGCGCGCTTGACCGCCCTGATCGTCGACACATTGAAACGCTTCATCAGCTCCTGCATCACGTCGGTGTACTCGATGGCGTCGATGTCCTTGGAGACCTCCTCGGCGGTGTTGATATCCTCAATGTCGTCGGCCATGCCCTGATAGGCGATCAAGTAGGCCATCCTTCGCGCCATCGGTCTCGGGTAGTTCTGAGCCTGCTGGGCAAGCTTGCCGCGTAAGACCACGTGCTCCTCGGTGCAGCTGCATTTCATGTTCATGTGGTGAACAAACTCCTTGTTCGTGGACTGGAGTCGCATGGGCTTCTTGTACGGCATGAACTCACCCTTGATCTCGAAGTTCGCGCCCAGCCTGCACTGGTCGAGCCGGCAGTGGAATCCAGGTAGCTTCTGCCAGGTCTTGGTCTGCCAGTGTAGCCCTTGCCATGGGCCTTCTACATACGCATGACGTCCACCGTTTTGCTGCTTCACAAAAGAATCCCGAACCATCTTGAGGAACGTCTTTTCCTCTCTCTGTCTGGTGAGGTTGATCTCCTTCGCGTGTTCCTCCGACAGCTTCTCATTGACATGTTGGTGCGAAGAAGATGTCATCGGGCTTCTCCTCATCGATCTTACTCAGGAAGCTACGAATCACGCTGAGCTTGGAAAAGTCCCAGCCGTCAGCCAGCCTGAACTGGATCACCTTGACCTGCGGGAACTCCAGCAGCTCCTCCGACAAAGCCCCTTGGTCCACGAAGACCTCCCAGACCACGCGTTCGCGGGGTCCTCTGAGCGTATCCTTCATGTCGGTCTCCGCTTGCTCCAGGGCCAAGATCAGGTCTGAGCAGGTGTCCGCGTCCATGTCTGAGAACCCCTCGGTCGTCAGCGCCTCGTCGTCGCTACCGATGTCGTAGAACTCCGGGACGGTCTCGAGGTAGTAGGCATCGGCGTCGGGCACCGACGAGTCGCTGCCATCGTCGGTCTCTCCCTCCACCGAGCTCCCCTCCGAGTCCTTGTCCGTCGAGTCGTCGCTGCTCTCCTCGCCGTCCGTGGGAGCGCCCTCGTTCATGGCGTCGTCTGCCTCCTTCCCGGCGCTGCCCAACAAGTCAATGATGAAGTGGCCTTTCTCATCACGCTCGGACTTCATCCAACCTTTGTTGGGAAGGTCCTTCATCATGAACGTTCCTGCTCGATAGTCCTGAATGAGACCCCACTCCTCCATGCAGGGCCTGGCGATGAGCAGCGGCGCCCACCCCTCGACGAGGTGGATGGTGACTTGCTTCTTGATTCCGAACGGCCACACCGACAACGTCACTGCCTTCTTTGCCTCCAGCGTCTTACCGTCTCCGAACCTGAACCGTCGATCACTCTTCTCATACTTGACCTCGTGCAGCAACTGCTTCACGCGCAGCAGCTCTTCCCACTGCGCCCAGACCTCGTCGCCCATGACGGGCCGCGTTGCGCCTCCGTCGCTGATGCCCTTGCCGACTGTCAGCAGGAACACCTCCTCGGTCGAATTCGCGTACTCCAACGTCTCGACGTCCTCGACCATATCGCCTGACTCGGTCTCCGTCCTGGTGAACCCGCCGTGACGGAACCTCTTGAACCTCGGGCCGTGCTGCTGCGTCGAGCCCGTCCCGGTCGATCCCGCACTCGATGCAGCCGGCGAGCGGGCGAACGGGGCCTTCGGGAACTTGAACGCTGATGGATCTCGTCGTGGCTGATTAGATCCCTTGCCTTTGCCTTTACCTTTGCCGCGTCCACGTCCCTTGCCTTTGCCTGGGGCTCGGGCCGGTCGTGCTTCACGGTAGTTGTTGTCGGGCGCCACGGCGACGATCGGGTAGAAGCCCCTGGACTTCGCGATCTCAGCCACGCGCTTCTTTGCATCCACGAAACTCAGGTAGGCCTCGTCGCACGCGAGCTGAGCGTCCTCGACATCCTGCGGCAGCTCCTCCGCGATCTCGGCCTCCTCGTCTACGTCTTCATATTCGTACTCATCTTCGTCTTCATACTCTTCCTCCTCCAGGTACGTGTCTTCGTAGCTCAGGCCTCGCTCCCACTCGTAGTCGTTTGTGTAGTGAGCGTCGTCCTTGGCGTTCTGCCCGAGCAGCATCTTCTCCACTCGTTTGGTGTCGCGCTTGTCGGGCAGACCCTCGGCTCCGTACGTGTCGAGCAAAGCCTTCTTCACCTTCTGCCAGCTGAGGCCGTCTACGCATTGACTCCGAACCTGGGCGGCGCCTGACGGTGGGATCGCCGCTCTCGTGAGGAGGTGCCAGCCCGCTAGCATATCTGGAATCTCCATGCCCACTTCCTTCAGCTTCCTGATGTCGCGCTGATGGCGTAGGCAGTACAACTTCATGGACTCCTTCTCCTGACGGGCGAACCTGCCGAGGAACTGATCCGTCCGGGCTGGCAGCTCAGTCTGGTTGTCGTACTTGCAGTACTCGTCCAGGACCTTGAACAGCGGCCTGAAGGCCTCGTCTGTCTCTAGCAGGTCCAGGTCGATCTCCCACGTAGCCTCGGCCGCCTCTCCTTGCAGCGAGTTCATGACCAGAAACGCTCCCTCGCTGATGGCGGTCGTGCCGCGCTTGCGGCAGCACCTCTCGAAGACCTCTAGCTTTCGTCTGAAAACTCGGTAGCCGTCGGTCTTCAGCAGCTCGTAGCTTGGCGCCGTCTTAGACAGGCCAGCATCGAGTCCTCTTCCCCCGTCCCAGGTTGAACTCTCCTGGCGCCACCAGCCTCCGCCCGTCCAGCCAGCCCACTCCTCGGCGTAGGCTGCCTCGTCGCCCTCGCTGCCAGGGACCCGGGTGGTCGCGGCAGCAGGGTCCACGCCGCTGGCAGCCGAAGCGGCAGCGGCGGCAGGGGGCGGGGTGCCCGGCGGCTTCGCCGGCGGCGGTCCTGGCGGCTTCGCCGGTCCGCGGGGCGGCGTCGCGCCAGCGGGCATGGCGGCGGCGACGGGGATGCCGGAGATGGGTGTGGATCTCTGGCTCCGCTACCAATCTCAACCGATGGCAGCACACTAGGTCTGTCTCGGGATGTACGTGATCTGATTATCTTGATAATCTGGGAAAGAACACGCAACCTTATCCTGTGACTCAGGGGCTCCTGAACATCAAACGGCAGCGGTCCAACCATAATCAAACACTGTGCTAATAAACAATGCAACTAACACTGCATACACACATGAAAACTCGATGAAACGTGGGTGATATTGACAATGGGGGAGGAGGAGGAGGCGGATGAGCGGGATGAGCCCGCGGCGGCAGGAGCTCGCGCCTCGATTGGCGCCCCCCTTCCCCCCCTGCAGGTGATCCCCGCCAGCGAGCGTGCCAGCAGCGCTCTCGGCCCTCCTGGAGCTCTATGAGGGCTCTCTGGAGGCTCTCTGGGGGCTCTCTGGGTGCTCCCTGGAGACTCTCTGGGGGCTCTCTGGATGCTCTCTGGATGCTCTCTGGGGGCTCTCTGGAGGCTCTCTGGGGGCTCCTGGGGGGTGGGGGCTCTCTGTAGGCTCTCTGGAGGCTCCTTGGGGGCTCTCTGGGGGCTCTCTGGGTTGCTCTCTGGGAGCTCTCCGGGGGCTCTCTGGGGCTTTCTGGGGCGCCAGGAAGCAGTCCTCCACAGCCCAGGCGCTCGCGCGATCCCTGGGCCACTCCCGCGAGCACCCCTCGGACGCCCGAGGCTCTCCAAGAGCAGTCCGAAGGGTCTCTGGGGGGGGCTCTCTGTGAGCTCTCGGGGGAGGGGGCGCTGGCGCTGGAGAGGTCCAGGGAGCGCTCCTCCTCTTCATCCTCCCCATCCCGATCCTCCCCCCTCCTCCTTTCCGTCGTCTTCCTCCTCCTCCTCCTCCTCCTCCTCCTCCTCCTCCTCCTCCTCCTCCCTCCATTCTCGTCGTCCCCCTTCGTCCCCCCTCCTTTTCCTCCTCGCCCTCGTCGTCGGCCTCCTCTTCATCCTTGTACTCGCTGGACTGCGAGGCACGAGCCGAGAGCCCCACGGGGGCGCCCGAGTGGACGGCGCGGCAGGGCCGGCTGGTCCAGGGGGCTCCCGTGCGACGGGCCAGCGAGGTGGAGCGCCGCCCTCGGCCCCCGGCCGCTGCGCCCACCCTCTCCATCAGTGAGCCGCCCTGCATCTGCTGCTACTCCCCCCCTCCTCCTCCTCCTCCCTCCTCCCTCCTCCTCCTCCTCCTCCTCCCCTCTCCTCCCCCTCCCTCCTCCTCCTCCTCCTCCTCCTCCTCCTCCTCCTCCTCCTCCTCCTCCTCCTCGCCCCCCTTCCTCGCCCCCCCCCCCCCCCCCTCTCCCTCCTCTTCACTTCGCCCGTCCCACGGCCCCCCTTTCATCGTCAAGTAGCTGCCCTCCCTGTCCTTCTCCGTTTCGCTCTCCCAATCTTCCTCCGCGCCCCCCCCTGGTCCGCGCATTTTCCCCAGGGGAGCGCGTTCAGGCTCAGAACCCCCCCCATCTCGGCCCCCCCCCGGTCCGCGCATTTTCCCCTGGGCAGCGCGTGCAGGCTCAGAATCCCCCCCATTTCGCTGACCGCGCCCATGCTTTTCAAGCTCGTCGCCCCCGACGGCCCGAAGCTCATGGCGAGCTGCCCTTCGAGCGTGTTTATCTAGACCGAAGTTTATGAAGACTGGTTCCCTGCGTGGGGCCCCATCGTCTTTGCATTTCCTGGCGGCCGAAATCCACGCGGCGAGGAGGCCTACAGGTCGCCCTTGCGGCCCTGATTTGCCTCCCCGGCCTGCGCGACTAAGCCCGCAATGCTTTCCCGATGGGGGATTCGTGGCGCACTCTGCACGTGGCCTCAAGAGTGCCGTTCTTGCAATGCGAACTCGTGCAGCCCCTGAAAATGGACGTTCTCATGGGCAGCCGTGCGCTCGCCCACCGAGCTCGCAGCACTTCCAGCGCGCTCCGACCGAGGCCCGCTGGCTGGAGGGGCTGGCGGGGGCGGGAGAGGGGGCGGAGTCATGGGCGGCGCCTCTGGTTCAGGCCCAGGGGCCGGGGGCGGCACTTGAAGTCCCGAGGCACCGCGTCATCGGGCTGCTCAGGTCTGCCTCCAGCGCCGCCGCCATCCCCAGGTGCCACGTCGCCAAAGATGTCACCGCCCAGGTCGGAGGCTGCAGCGACGGCGCCTACTGGTTCCACCTGTGGATCGCGACTGCATGGGTGTTCGGCCACTGCCCGCTTGCGCGCTTGACCCCGGCGCTCTGCAGCGAGGGGGGGCTCGCGCCCCGCGTCGCTTAGGGCGCGAGGCAGCGCGAGTAGACTCAGCCGGACATCCGCGCTGCACGAGGCCACCTCGCCCTCCGTCTCGGGCTCGGCCGCCGAGCCCCGGAGGGTGGCCCGACCCCCGTCCCCCTGAGAGTGGCCGTCGCCCTCCTCGCCGTCGGACTGGTTCCCCTCGGGCCCGAGGTCGCTCTGTGGCTCCGCGTCCTCGAGGGCATCGTCTGGGCACCCTTGCCGATCCCTTTTCCCACCCCAGAACGCACCTGCACCCCCTGCAGGCATGAGCGCAACCGCGGTGACATCAGCTGGCCGAAATGTGACCACGCGCGCACATTCTAACATCTCAAACCAGTGCGCTTCCAACCTCCGACCAGCATCGAGCTCGGCGAACGCACGCCAGTCAACCAGTGGTACACCTGTGGCCTCTGGAGGAAGGAAAGTTGGTGCAAATGCTGCACTCCTTCGCCCTGGCCCTCCCTCTTCTATCTCCCCCTCCCCTCCGCCCCCTTCTCGTCCTCTCCTCTCCCCCATCCCTCGTCCATGCGCCAGTGTGTTTGCTCTCCCCTCTCAGCTCTTGGCCCCGAGCGAGAGCGCTCAAATCGCAAATGACAGCTGCGCGGCATGTGCCTCACAGTCGTGATGCGTTCCTTTTTCCGCCGCGCGCCATCGTAACCTGGAGGGTTTGTAGAACTAGTGGCAGTTGCACCACCAAGCACGGGTCCAAAAGTGATCCGGATGCTTTTGCCAAAGCGTCTCATTGATGCACGGGGTCTGATTGACTGGCGGGTGGGAGCGGCTCCGCGCGTCCCGCGAAACCCGAAGTGCGACCCACACGAAGAGGCAAACGTGCAACCCGGAACGCGCGCAAAGCTTCATTGGTTCGCGCCCTGGGGCGCGTGGGATGCAGAGCTTAACTGCCTCATAGGTCTTGACGCCCTAAGCCATGAGGTTGATCTGCGTGGTGGCGCCGTTCTCGACCTCGCCGATGTAGCGCAGCATTCTAAAGCCAGACCAGTGCCTGCTGAAGTTGCGAGTGGGCACGTACCCAGCCATCTTCTTGTTAGCGAAACGCTTCAGGGGGCCATGCAACGTTTTCCGAACACGTGCTGTTGCCCGCCCCATAGGCCCACGCAAGCAAATGCCAGCTCGCCAACACGGATGAATGGGGGGCGCCGCTGTACTGGCTGGAATTATTTGGCATTCGGCGTGCGTGATAGGCTTGTGCATTTCGTGCCAACTATTGTACAATGATGATGCAACGTTGCTCGCTTCCCTCGCTGCAGATATACCGACCCCGGTGTCGCCGGATAGAGATGCGCCGTGTAGAACTCGAAGAACAACTTGAGAACTGCGCGGTACAGCGTCAAGGGCGGGTGCAAGTTGAGCCACTTGTGGGACCATGTAATTCATGCGTCCCGAAATTGGATTGAATTTCCTTATGCGCATTTCTTCATGATTCGGTCCTCTCCTTCATCGGGTCGCGCGAGGCGCTCGTCATCAGCGCGCTTGAGGAACCTGGCTGCCTGGCGCTTTCACCAAGTCGAGCCCTGGATCGCCATTAGCGAGTGCCCGCTCAATCGCTGCATCGCACCCCGCGCCATCATCGCGCGCTCTCGCTGCTGGCTGGGCGGCAGTCTCCGCCCGCCGTGCAGCTCCAGTCCTCGGCGCCTTGAATTGGTTCTTGCGCGCTTCCCTGGCCTCGGGGCCGGAGCTGCCCCCGCCCGCGGCCAGGGTCGCTGGCAGCTCTTGTCGCTCCCGCCCCTCCGTGCCGCAGATCTGCCGTCTCAACTGGTGGCGGGCGGCGGCATCTCCTCGAAATCTCCGCCATATCCCGCAGCCCCGTCTTCCCCGCGCCCCCCCGCCCGACGAATGGCCGCCATGCGCCGCCGGGCTCGCGCGCGACAGTTGGGCCATGGCCGCCATCATGTACACGGTCGGGCCCGTCTTCTTCGCGCCGAACCTGGGCTTGGAATGGCTCGCCGTGCTTGCGGGCGCGGTCCACGGTCAACTCAGCCAGCAGCTCTTCCAAACCCGCTGGGTGGGTCTGGGCCCCCATGGATTCGAAACGTTCGCGTGCAGCTGCGCGCGTGGCCTCAGCGGGCGCGATGCGAGCCTCGGAAGACGAGCGCGAAGACGAAGGTGTGCAAGGGTCCTGCGGGCGCCGCCGCCTGGCCCATCTCTGATTCTGCTGAAAAGTGCCAGTGAAATCTCATCCAGCATGCAATGGGGGACGGGCTCCATGGCAAGGCTCAGCAGGCCGTCGAGTAGCCTGAACAGCCTGAAGGGGAACCCGCGGAATACGCCCGCGACAGATTCAAACGCCCACATGTCAGAAGCTGATCTATGACTGTATGCCAAGCTCCGAAACTCCATCGTCTGTCTCTCCAGTGGCGCCAATTCTTGCCACGGCAGCTTCTCTGTCAACAAAAATGCGCGTGTGTGCTCGACGTAACCTTTCGCGGTCCCGGCGATCGGATAAGTTTTGCCCTCGCCATTTAAGTGCGCGGCTGCTTTGGTATCTTGGCGAGCGCCCCATGGGGCGCCAGCAATCACCGCGAGCGCTTTCGTTGGAAAGATGAAGGATTCCGTGCTTTGCCTGATGGTGAGGCACGATGCTAAAGGGCGCC